GGCAAACGGGAAACTTGATGGATTTTAGGTTCAGTCTTCGCATACTTGATAAGAACCACCACGTTAACGCCAGAGAGGCCTTTTCAGTAATATATCAGGCACCGACACACTACTCAGAAAGCCTGCGAAAACGAGTTCCGCCACAGCCTTAGCATTTGCAGTTCGTGAGGACATCCTTGGCCCCTCTTTCCTGCTCGCCGGATCCAGCGTCCTCAACAAGCCGGCGCCTACATGCATGAGACGAGTGAACACAGATTTAAAGCATTACACCTCAATAACCCTTCACTTCCATCCCTATCCCAGGACCATTTAATTACTGCATAAAACTGTCCATTTTATACCCTGCAATTGTATTGTCTTGATGAGGAATAGCTGAAAACATGTTTTGCCAATATGATTTCTCAATGGCAAAATAGGAATATTTGCTAAATCACGACACCTCAGTAAGCTCTTTGCGGCCTTTCGTAAGACAATTCCCCATGTATCTTTTAACTTTTTTTTAAATAGACATATTTTCATCGCTTATCCTGTGGATGGCAAACAATAATCCTGTTGTCGTTATATACATTTCCTGGAAACATGCAATCTGTGCCGCCTTCATGACTCACTCCAGTGTGAGGGGAGGTGACACAGTCAGAAAGTGTTAGTCCGTGCTGGCTTTAAATCGTTAACTTTATATTCCACTATCCACCCAGGACTGAGAAGGAGCGAAAATTCCACAGAAATGGTTTATATAGTCTTGGGGTGCTCCAGAAGCCAGCATTTTTGTGTGTGAGTATAAGAAAGAAGTACTGTCGAACACTGGATCAATTTCTTTGTGATCAATGGGGTATGTCGCTTCCGATGCCTACGCTACCCTTCCAAGCACACATGCCACACTAAACGCATGCTTGGATCGCGCATTCAGGAACACAAAATGGCTGTTCGCACAAGATCATTAACCACCTCTTTGTTCCCTTTTCTTATTTCTAAAGATGAACTTCTGTGGGAGTTCAAATGCTCAGGATAATTAAGAAATTAATCCGGTCCTTGAATATCATTCCTGCTTATCCATGATAATGCCTGGAACGTGAACGTTTTCATTCATGTTTGTGTGAATTATCCGTCGCCTTTAAAATTTGAGTTGAAACATACACGTTTCCCACTGTTTTTCGGATCAGCGCATACACCACCCAATGGATTGGGTTCAACTTCGATAGTTGACTCCTACACAAGAATAGCGTGGTAGGTGACACCCTGACCACCGTTGTGTGGTTTTTCTTTCATCATGCCTCGATTATTCCCTGAAATAGTGCAATTGCACGTATGTTGAGGGAGTTTACTTGTAATTTAGATTACGGGCCGGTATGTAGCGGCCACTTGGATTGCACATTCGAGGTTGTCTCCTACACCGCTTGAGCCCAAGAACCTAACAGCACGGCGCGGTGGCAGGTGAACCTTTTTGAAATGCCAGCTTACACTCACCGTGTCACAGTGCTGACGTCGTGCTCCACGGGACTTCATTAGACAGTCGGCGCACTCTGTTAATACAAGCGAGGCGGATCCTTGACCGCTCATTCGCCAAATCCGATACCCCTTGCTGCTAAGTGCGCAGGTAACTTTCGCCGGAGGTCGTTTCACTCTCTGCAACCTATGCATATCCCAGGCTAACGCGTAGACCCAGTCTCCACCTTTTTTCCTCTCTTACCTTACTCTTTCCTCCCCACCTCATCCCTACCCTTTCTAGACCGGCAATTGGGCGAATCTGTGCATCTTCCGGGCGACTGATGGCCTCGGCAGTGTAGTGTCACAGAAGGCAATCGCCTTTCGCATCGGGAAGTTCAAGGCGCGTTCTTCGAATTCTCGCGCAAGGCCGGCATCGACGTTCTACTCTCGCCCGTGGTGGGGCATCTAACCGTTCTGCCCCTACAACCACCCCACGCCTTCAACAACATGCTCTCCTTCGCCAGTCTGGCCAATCTGTTGGGTATACTCACAGGTTTCCTGCCCTCGGACCTACATGTTGAGCAAAATGATCTGGAGAAGTTAGGACACACCTGTGCCGGCTCTCTCGTCATCCCAGATGCTGTTGACAAGGATGAAGCAGCCTACTACGACGACTATGGCAGCCGATCTCCCACACATTACTATCAGTTTCCTGTGAGTCCTGCCGCTCTAGGCCGTTGCGTTCTATACATTTGTTTGCAAGGTGAGTTCTGAAGTGCATTAAGCCGAGGTGATCTAACTCATTGCTGACGACGTCGATTGAACTATTGCATTTTAGCAGGTAAAGCGTTCCTGTTTGCTTACTTGCTCAGGCTCTTCTGAAAAATGGTTTTTTTCCACGCAGAATGTGTCAACCTATTTTTACGAATTAAGGAGTACACTGGCACACTCAACAGAGCCATGGACATTCATCCCGCTTTCCAGGTCGTACGCCGATGGCTTGAATCAGTTTGAGCAAAGCCAGCAGGACGGCAAAGCAGGCATCAGCGTGCCTACAACTGACATCAGAGGATACTAGAAGAGGAGTCGGCCAAGAACCACGTGACCAGCGTAGAAGCGTACGTCACCGCCACACCCATGACATTGACATCAACTAACGCGGGCAGCAACAGGTGATTCGTCCGTTGGTGGAAAAGGGACAGGCCGGTAAGCATGCTGACATGACAACAATTACGACAGCCGAAGAGGGGAAAAAGGTCAAACGAGTCTACCAGCGGTTTACCTCACGGACAGTCAGCAACGAAAAAGCAGGTTAAACTTCGTGCGTCGAGCACGGGTATAATATCAGGCATGCAGCAATGCTGAAAAGTTTCCGGCAAAGAGGAAAAATCACATACTAACTATGACAATGGAAACAAACAAGTGTACAAAACGTCAATCTCAATAAAAATCGGCCCATATCCTCATACCTCCTCCTTCGCTCTCGTTAGGAGGTGCCGAAAACGACATAGGTTTCTGTATTTTCGATATACTTCGTATCATAATGGTTCTCAAAGATGTTTGTTGCACACCCGAGAACCTCATGGTTGTCAGGTAGACCAAGCTAACATTGGCAGTTTTATTAAACAACACTTGAGCACTTACCGATACAAGCAAACATGTGTGTCCGAGGAAGCAATTGAGAAGAAGAAGAAGAAGACTCGATCGCCGGAACAATATGTTTAAGTGCCTGAAGTCTCGACATCCGTCGCGGATTCATCATCAGAGACATGGACAGTAGCAGAAACGGGTAATGCATGCACAGAAGTTTGCAGTATTTATAGG